TCTTTTTTATTCAAGATATTCAGCGATGAAGAGGAAAATAAGAAGGGGAAGAATGATGCAATATGTTAAGTGTAGATGTAATTAAGTTGTTTTTGAATAGTTTACTTGTATAATCTTCAAATATCATTGTTTCTTACTCAACTGTTCTTCAAGTGATTTAATTTGCTGATGTAAAGGTGCTGTTGCTTCCTCTGTTGCCTTTTTAACTAGTTGTTGAATACAGTCAATCATGGCAGGATTGAGATACTGGTCTTCAGGAAGATTTGTAATGGCTCGCTCTCCTATTTTCTTCTTTGTTGAAAAGGGGTCAATAATGAAGGCTATAAACGTTTCATGATTTCTATACAATACAATGATTAGCAAGATTATCATTTGTAGAACAAAGAGCGTACATTAAGATCTGTTCAATCTTCTTCATGGCAGCTTCAAGACGAATTGGGAACATTTCGTCTAGGACATTATCCTTGCATTGCAATATAAAGTCAAGAAGCTTTTGATGCTTGTTCTCTATTTCTTCCAATCTAGCATGAACATCCAATTCTGAGGTGTCTTCTGTTCTCGCCCGCTTTCTTGGAAGAGTAATTGTACTATCCGCGGAATCTTTGTGTGCTTTAAATGAAGTATCTATCATCTTGATATGATTATACATAAACGCGACATTTTGTTCCATTTGTTGTACGTTGGCCAATAGTGCAGCGGATGCAACCTCTGTGTCACTAGATGGTTGTCCAGGCAACGATTTTGATCTGAGTGAATCTACAATCGAACGCGTTTCTTCAAGCTTCTGTTTGATTTGAACATGTTCCTTGCCCAGTTGCATCGCGGCCTCTTTGACAGAAGCAAGTTCAGCTTGATCTACACCTCCAATATTAGGAGAAACCTTTTTACAAAAGTCCACCATTAGCTGGATCTCAGGCAAAGAAGCCATGATATTTTTAAGGTTGGTAGGTCCTAATCGCGCGTTGACTTCATTTTTGACAATTTCTGTAATTTGTTCTGATCCCACGATCTCTTTTGTTTGATTCCGTTTGTTTTCTTCACTGATTTGCTTCACACGTTCATAGACCTTTGCTTCCAACTGCTTTATAACGAGTTTCGATACTTTATTGATCACCTCTGTCTGTTCAAAGTTACTGAGCATATTCTCCATTTTTTTGACAACATCTCTAAACGTCTTTTCGTTTTGGGCTCCAATACTCATCACATGCTGGTTATGAGATTCCTTGACGTGCTTTTTAAACTCTTCCAAAGACGCATATATCTTTTGTCCTTCAGCTACGTCCATTTTTTCTTTGTTCAATTTTTCAATAGAATGTGCTGAATTCGTGAGCTGGTCAGTGGTCGCTTGAAGTAGTTTTTCGCTAAATTCGGCCAATGCCACTGACACAGATGATTTTATCTTATCTGTGTAGTTGCTAATATGTTGAATGATGTCTCGGAACTGGTTAGATGCTATCTCTTCGCAGTCGGTTAATCTATTTATTATAAATGAGCTTTTTCCCTTTTAAATGTATTGTTTAATCTTACTCCTTTTTCTTGGAATTTATTTCATTTTCTATATCTCTCATAGCATCATCTATTAAAGAGAGACGTTTAGTTTACAAGTCATCATGTCATTGGCGCACATACCCATTGATTTAAGTGATTCAGGAGCTTTACTTTCTCTTGATAAGCGTTCTCTTATTTGACTTAGGTTATTAAGCTTGGTCTCAATAGTCTTCAAATCTAAAGCTATGCGCGTGGCTTCATAAATAGATCTATATAAATCATGTTAAACATATATCTTTGAATGTTTCTTGTAATCATCTACTTAAAATGCTTTGGAAGCATTTTCCTTGTTGTATCCTGTAAGTCATTTACAGCATTTCCTTTGTCTGACATTTTGTTATAAAGAAAGGAGAGAAAGAAAAAAAGAAGTGGTTATTTTTTGACAACTTAAATAGTCACTCTTTTTTAAAAAAAAAAGTAACAGTTACTGTGCAAACCTTATTCAAGCATAACCACAAGAGAGATCAGACTTGGTCCTCTTTATCAACCTTTTCTTTTCTTTTTTTTTTTTTTTGCTTTTCCTTTTTGTAAGTGATGGTTCTTGTACAGTAGTTCCACCCTCAATTGGACACTTTCTTGAAAATGCTGGTCGGAATTTAGAAAACAAAGTATCTTTTCAAGACGTTTGGTATCAAAAATTCGGACGTTGACGAAGAGGAGACAAAGGATGTGGCAAGGACCCACCCTTGATACAGAAGACTTTTCTACTACTGATTTCCGCACCCAAATAACCATACAAAAAAATAATACGACATAGAAAGGAATAAGGAGTTAGACAATAGAAAGTATTATTGATCATTACTGAAAATAAAGCGTGGCTTGGAAAGCCTGTTACCCCATCCTTTGTCTCGTCTTCGTCAATCACGATTGGGATAAATATGCCTTCGAATTGAAACTTGGCAACAAAGTGATAACTGAAAATACACTTCGTCATCCTTCTAGTAACAATCTCATGTTAAGCGACCGTTGAATGTTTCAAAACAATTATTTTGATTGGAAATTACGCCTTACAAAAAAGTACGATTCAGGAAGTAATTTATTCGCTGAACACTACGCGCAAGAGGAAGTCCACGAGAAGGCTAATGCTACAGGCGCTTCTTCTAGGCACTGTATGTGACATCCTTTTACAACTGCATACTACACAAAGCGTCTGCCTAGCCTAAGACTGTCCAGCGGGATATTCTTTGATAGAAAATACGAATTTATCATAATTACTTTTGAATGACCAAATTGACAACATAAAGCTAGAATAAATAAATAACAACATTTCTTTTTTATCCTCTTCTTCTTCTTGAAAAGGGGCAATTCAAGATGGTAACTTCATAAACTCATGTTTAGCTTGACGCTACACATTGAAAAGCTTTGTTGGACGACATCATAGGTAGTGGGTAGAGGTAGCGCCCATAGTATTGGTCTTTCTTTACTTTACTGCAGTTTGTTGCTTAAAATGGTTCCCAAATCTTTAACTGATTTATTGTGGAAAGAAATAGATTCTTTTTGCTATGATGTGAGCTTATTGAAGAATTACAAGTTTAAGACCAGCGATAATGTAAAGAAGAGCTTTACCAACGCAATCAAAAACATCAAGAAAAGAAAAAATTACAATAGTAGATTAATGGGATATAAACTGGAAAACACAAAAAGAAATTTAGACCAGGTAAATACTACATTAAAAAGTATAATTGATCAACAAGTTGACGTGGGAATTGATAATCTTACTTACTTTGCTCTTGTAGAAGGTTAATCACTGTTGTATAATATAGCTTAATAGGCTAATTGTGCACCAATAGGATATGGCTGGTATTTATACAGAATGAATCTCTCTTATGATGATGAGTGTCGTTCTCACCTTCTCATGTTGTTACTGCCAGCAATCAATGCTTTGTCTTACTTGAATGTAAGCAAATGCTTTTTCAAACAAACTAACAAGCTACTAACAACAATTTATTAGGATGAATTAGCTGTTCTTAAGTCAAAATTGTTGGGTATTAGTAAAACTCGTCAGGGAAAGTCAACTGCTCCATCTTTTAAAAAGTTATCATTTAACAAAACAGCCAGAATTTAATCTTCATGTTGCTTCATTTCTTTCATTATCAAGTTACTTTTTTTTTTTTTTACCTCATCATTTTCATAATTGTCGTCACATATGTATATTCGCCATATCTGAACCAGGCTTTCACCATCACAAATAAACAGAGTTGTTAAAGTTTTGAGTGTTCAGCCACTATAAATTCTTCATTGAAGTCATGGTACAAGATTTATGCAGATATACACTTTTTCGAAAAAATATCGACACTGTCACCATCAAAGGCTTTTTGATGTAGAATGTAAATTTATGAAGCATCATCACAATTACACTTGAAGTGATCTTAGTTGTTCCCGCCCTCCTCTCCCTGTTTTCTTCTCGGTTTGTCTCTGTTTTTTCCATTCTCACTCAAGAAGATAAAGGATAAAAAAATAGTTTTTATATTACTGTGTTTTATTTACGTTGTACAATTCGAATTAAAAAAGAAAAGAATGATTACAGCAACCAAGAACACTTCAAGTGTAATTAGCGACTTTTGTGTCATGGAGCCTTATGCAGCCTTTTATGGTTACTGAATTTTGAGAGAAAGTTATTGAACAGCCGATGAAATGACCAAAAAGATCCAGGGAAATAGAATGCGCATATTTTTTCATTATTTATTTCTTTCTTCTGTTTGACCAGTCACACCCTGGCCTCTATAAACACTATTTATTGAATAAAAGAGTAAATCAGTTTTTTTTGATTTATTAACCAATGTCACTTCAACCTTCAAAGCAAGCAGTGCTGCAAGCTTACCGCAGTTTACTGAGGACACAAAAGCAAGTGTTTGACAGTAAGACAAGTGTATTGATCATCAACACGGTTTAAAAAATATTTTTTTTTTTCTTTTTCTAGCTGATTACAGAGCCATTGAAGGTAATAGTAACAGCAATGATAAATCAATCAGTGAATCAACATTCTCTTTTTATAATGATTAGCTGCTAGAAAAGAAACGTATGCACGATTTATGCAATTTAAAGACGAGACAAATACAGATATCCTTGAAGAAGTAAATATAAAGTAAAATGTAAGACTAACACTAATATTGGGAAAATAGAAACTTCAGTTAGCTCGCCAGGTGGATGTGTTACTAAGAAAGAATGTCATTCAAGGAGTTAATCAAGGAAATAATACCTTTAGTAAGTTTATTTCAGTTAAAGAGAGAGAAACAATGACCTTCTAATGATTGAATATAGAGTTAAGAATCACAAAAGATACAGAATTAGGTGACAATGACAGTATTAAAAAATCAAAAAACATTCATCGTAAATCAAAGCATACACATCAATGTTGTAGTCAACACAAATAAAATAGTATTTTTCCCCTTTGCGAGTAGGAGTCCAATGAATGAGTTAAACAAAAGGTTAAAGCTGTCACAATGAAACTGATTGACATATGGAGGGGGCAAACTGTAATGATGCCCTAGGAGAAGAGGAAGGGGGGAGGTGCAATGATACAGTATGTTGACATGTATCAATTTTTAATTTTTTTTTTGTCATACACTCTTTTTCTTTCTATTTTGAACAAGAAAAAAATAAAACATGAACAACAAAGAGAGTGATTTGTCATTAAAAGTAACAGAACAGCTCATGAATAGCAGGTATTCAACGAGTTCAGCGACCCCTCTCATTTCACACATGCCTTCTTCTTCTGCCATGAGTCCATCAGCAGATAGGCAACAACAACAACGACAAGATAGACATCACCTTGATCGTCCATTTCCAGGAGATGCATCTATACTAAAGCCAAAAATGGTTCCAGATCAAGACTTGGTTTGGTCCAACATTAAAGAATTAAAGAGATCACCTAAAGAAGAACATTCTGAAACCGAGAAACCAGCGTGGTGGATATTAAAAAAGGACGACGAAGACGGATTTTACTCTGTTGGAGGCTTACTGTTCCTCTTTGGGTTTTTATTCCCTCCTTTCTGGTGGCTGGGGTCATTCTGGCCGAGACAAGTGAGAGAAAAAGGCGGAAAAATGGCAGAAAGATGGCAACGATTGAATAGAATCATGTCAATTGGATTTAGTACAATTTTAATCATTCTTATCGTCGTATTTGCTGCACTATACTCAACACATCAATGGTAAATTATCGTTATTATTATTATTATTCTGTTACCCCCCTCTCTTTATATACCTCAATTGTATCCCTTCCAAATGATACACACACACGTGTCTTGCGTGATGTTTAATAAAGAAAACTTTGCTTATATTTACAATTGCTCTTATACATTGACAGAAAAGGTTAGTCAGAATCAATTCTTCCTTAATGATGTGATGCTTCCATTCATATTCCCGTTTTGCCAAGAAGAAAAGTCGGAAAAATAGAAAAGAATGACATCAGAAACAACAAGAGAAGCATGATCTGATACAAAATAAGCAACAGTAGTGTGTCATTAAGATCCTGTTTTCATGTTTTTTCTAGCTGACATGATAAAAAAGCAATATCAAATATGAAAGGCTGCCATGAAGTTGCTATAGCAATATCATTTTTGGATAATTTGTCTTTTTTTGAAATTTTCTATTTTAAAGTGCTCTTGTTTCTATATTTATGTTTTCTGATTCATTGCCTCTTTCGGCAAGACAATGAAAGAGACAGAAAAGAAGGGAAAAACTTAGATCCAGATGATTTTAGCTCTTCGGGATTTAAGAAAAAATATATAAATACGCTGTTTTATTCCTTGTTTCTTCGTATCCTTCAGATCAAATGGTTCGTGTCTTTTTACCTCTTATTGCATTCATTGGCCTAGCATTAGCTGTCCCTGTTGAGCAATTGGCTCAGTCTACTCCTACAACTGATTCATCTACGCCTGCACCAAGGCCTACAAACTTCCAGCATCCATCTTACAACACTCAAGGACTTCCAGAAAGCATTTTTCCTGATTACTCCGACATTGAACTTGGGCATACAAACGGCCTGCACGATGTTGTAAAGCACATGGAAATGCAAAACAATGGACACAAATTCTAATTCATTTTATACAATTATACATTTATTTTTAACATTATCCATTCAGTTCACCATTGTAATAAAGAATATTTAATATTACGTTCCACACCAAGATTTGTTTCGTCTCTGTTTATGAAATGATTATCATTTCATCCAAAAGATATCCTTGTTTATTATTTTCACACAAGATGCTTGGCCCAAAGTTTGCCAAAAATAACTTTCCATTGTTTATAAAACTTTTTCACAAGATCCTTTAGAAATTCTTGATACATCCCATTTTTTACCATTCAGTTGTGGTAGTGCTATTATTTATAAAACTACACTTCTACTATCGTAACATATAAGGGTTATGGATACTCAAACATTTTTTGCTGAAGGGTACATTATTGCGCATTAAAATCAGCCATTGGTTCTGCTAAGAGCAAGTGAGATCAGAAACCACAATAGAAAACATTCAAGCGACAAATGATATAGAATGCAAATGTGTGCTCTAAAAAATAGAGCAATAGGTTACTGAATGATATGTAATCATGTTGCCTTTAAGCTATAAAATGCAAGTCAATAACTAACGGTAGAAGGTCCAACTTTGCTTTCGTACTCTTCCCTCTTCTGCTCAAATAATAGTACACATTAAAATGATTATCACCAGTTCAATCCTTACATGTGATATAAAACAATATAAAGATCAAGTAAAACAGGTTATCAGCAAACAGATCTCTTTTGTTGCTAATCACTGCCAATATTTACCGGAACTTTGAGCTGAAGTTCAAAAAATATACGTGTCCGTATCTCCTGAGTGAATTCCCCATTTTCTTTTCTAAAGAAACTGCTTTTATGACATCACAGCCTAAATCAGTTAGACCAGGAAATCAATCGATTCAAACAGTAAAGGCAGCACATGAGACGACATTAAAGTCTGAAGCGAGCTGGTTTCAGATTATTCATGCTGAAATAATCGGTATAAATGAATACATATAAAAATATCATGTTTACTAAATCAGTATCTCAGCTGTAACAAGCGCCATGCGTAAAAGTGCACGATGGTCAGGCATGAATGTGAGCAATCTTCAAATGGGTAGCTTAGGAGACAGCATGGGCTTACGTAGTGGAAGGACATATACAAAAGATTCAAGTGCAAAAGAGGTAAATATTATGAAAACAATAATATAAACAAGAGATAAACATGTATATGTGTGCTAGAGAAATCCATTACTAGAAGGGTTCATCAAACTTAAACAACATTTGGAGAGTGTCGAAAGTAAGAAGACGGGAATCAATAGATGATAACAAGATGCACTTATATAAGACTATATAGATGCAAAAGATATTGACGCTGTAGAACTCGTTCAGCCTTTCCTTGAGGTCATTTGCTCTGGTAATACAACAGGACAAATCGCGGCAATCTCTTTGGGGAGTATTGAAAAATTTCTGCATTATGGCATCTTGGGTGTACAAAGTCCTAATATTGCCTATGCAATGAACACATTGACCTCAGCTACAAGTGGCTGTAAGTTTGAGGCCTCTGATGCAGTCTCTGATGAATTGGTGCTGTTGCGTATGCTGCAGGTACTGGAAATGGCTTTAGTGAGTGATTGTGGACAAGTATTGAGCGACGAAGCAGTTTGTGAAATAATGGAATCTGGACTCAGTATGTGCTGCCAGATGAGGCTCAGTGGTACGTACAAAGAGATGTTATTTATGGTTCATATTTTAACAGCTTGCTTATAGAAATGTTGAGGAAATCAGCAGAACATTCAATGATAAACATGATTGTTTCTATTTTTGAAAGGTTAGATTACAGCCCTATAAGCTTGCAGAGCATTGATTCCTGTTAGGTTAAAAAACTTGGAAGATGATTGGTCATTCGTAACATCATCACTAGAGGCATCAGAAGAGCTTACAGAACATGTTCACATGAATACACCAAAAGATACTTCATCACTCGATGCAGACAATCTAAGTTCAGAACAGCAGCAGGAAGCGGAAGCAGAAAAGGATCAGGAAGTAGAATCTGTGGATGATAAGTTGGCAGCTACTTCGTATACCACCTCATCTGAACCTGTGCCTGAAGCTAAAAGCTCATTCTTAGGTAATACTTTTCTTTTGACGTAACTGGAATTATACTCATAAGTTTTATAGTAGTCAATGACCAGAGCACTATTCCAAAACCATATGGGATACCCACAATTCGAGAATTACTTCGGGTTTTAATATCATTATTGAACCCTCACGAACACAAGCATACAGATTCGATGCGAATGATGGCACTGGGTCTCTTAAATGTGGCATTTGAAGTGGGAGGGAGAAGTATGGGACGCTTTGAAATCCTAAGGTCGTTAGTCACAGACGAATTCTGTAAATACGTCTTTCAACTCGCAAAAACAGATTCTATACCTCTACTTTCGTTATCACTTCGGGTTATTGCAACTGTATTTGATACACTCGGTCCTCATTTGAAACTACAGCAAGAGTTGTTCTTGTATTTCTTGATCCAGAGATTATCTCCACCCACTGGTGCAGGTAGTCGTAATGTCATTGTGGACGTTGACGAAGACGGAAACATAACCTTTATGGCGCCTAAACTGGATACAATAGAACAGGGCATCATTGGTGACGCTCGAAGTGCTTCACCCAACATGTTCTTGGGCAAGCCAACTGATTACCCAAGGACCAGTAAGAGCTATTCCGGAGATCACACGACAATGACGCCCGAAGTACGTGAGTTGCTGCTCGAGTGTCTGCTGCAATTTGTGCGTAGGGAGACGTTTATGATCGGTTTGTGGTATAACTATGACTGTGATGTAACTTGTGGAGATCTCTTTGAAGAGCTAATTCAATTTCTCTGCAAGGTAAGAAAAAGTAGACTGTAAAAAAGTGGTTGGATTCATTTTTATTTTTGTTGTTGCTAGAACTCTTTCCCTGATCCTCAAAGCTATTCGGTTACTAATCATCACACACTTTGTCTGGATACAATCTGCATGTTTATTGCTCAAATGACAGAACGAGTGTTAAGCAAGGTATGTCCTATTGGTGTTAAGTCTAAACGAGACACTAATCGTCTTTTAGATAAATGATGACTATGTTGTATGTGTAAGAAAAAGCATAACATGCTTTTGTATTGTATATGTAGAGTATGCCTAACAAATTATATAGGATTCCAACAAAATTCAAGAGCTGCTTGAACGCAAGCGACGCAAGAAGATTATTTTAAAAGGCGCGAGCTTATTCAACGAATCTCCCAAGAAGGGCATCGCCTTCCTGTTAGAAAACAACATTATTGTGCCTGATGAAAGTAACGATATCAACAAGAGCCTTTCAAACTTTTTGCGATCAACTCAACAGTTGGATAAAAAGGCGGTGGGAGAATATCTTGGTAAACCCGAGAATTTCGATGTACTGCAAGCGTACATGCGTCAATTTGATTTTAAGGGTGTAAGTATATTTAAGTTTTTTTTTTTTT